ATCTATGTGTACCTTATCTGGTCATCTGGGCTTGTTTCTGACTTTCTCACCCACTTAGCAAACCCTCCCTAACCTTTTGTCCTGCCAGGTGAGGTGGGGGGTGGGGATTCCTGGGATCTAAGCCTGCTTCCTAAATGAGCCTAACCAAAGTGGGGAGAAGGAATCAAACCTTCAGAGAAATCCATGCTCTAAACATAGGGGCATATAAATAATGCTTCCGGACCCTGGAGCCACATAACCTCTTAAGGACCGGACAGTCTTGCTTTTTAATTCTGATGCCCCATTTTATGAGCTCTGTAAACCTCAGCAAGTTATATAATCTATCGAGCCTTGGTTTTCCCATCTGTAAAATGGGGACAACAATACTATCCTCTTAAAATCCCTGTGAAGATATAAAGAGATGCAAAGCACCCCGCGTGGCCGTCCCTGTTTTCAATGTGTTCCTTCTCCTCCCTGGGAACACACATCAAAAGGATGGATACACATGCACGTACACTCCAGGGTAATGACACCTTGGCATACACTTTCCAGAGTGTATGTGTCATCATCTCTTAACAATATGATGTATTATAAACGGAACAGATTTTTCTCCATATTTGACTGGTGACAAAACAGAGATTCCTGGAATGGAAGTCAGATCCCCTGACTTCTAAGCCAGTGGTCATCCCACTGTGCATTGTGGTCAGAGATCCCACCTCACAGACTACACAAATGGAGCCCAGGGCCAGACTGAAACCAGCCCTGACTGTCACAGTCCAAGGTACTACCCAGGGTTCCTCAGTTGCACAGCTTGTCTCAGTGGCCACCTGGGCTCTTCTCCTAAGTGGATGCTTGTGTGGAAACTTTGGGACCCTGTGGGTCCCCTTCATTCTGTTCCACATGGGGTCCCCTGAAAAGCAGAGGACCGACTAGAGGGTAGGCGGTGTTGTCCCCTCCCCTCCCACCTGGGGAACCGTGGGGATGAAGTCTTCACTCTGGGAGGCTGCAGGGGGACATGGGTAAGATGGCTGGGCAGTCCGCTCTGTCCCTCCTCCCTTTTCCCTCTGGAAGTCCACTAGTTCATCCAGGCGTGTCTCCTCCCTTTCCTTCCCTCCTGTTTTGGGGGCCCCATGATCTATCTCCCCATCCCTGTGTGTCTCCCTGGCTAGGCTCCCATTCTCCCAGCCCCTCAGCCAGGCGGGGGATGCTGACCCCTGCCAGACACCCAGGGTCTCCTGGAACCAGAGAGCCTTTGGCCACGGGGCTCTGGCATTGGGCCAGTGCCTTTCTCACTGCCCGGCTCCTTCCCCACAGGCCCCTAATCCATCTCACCCAGCAGGAAGCCCTTCAGCTGCCTTTCAGTGGCCTTCCCTAGCTGGCTGTGGGCTCTGTGACTTTCAATACCACCCTTGGCAGGAGCTGTATTATACAAGCTGGAGAGAGTGGCCCTGCAAAGAGGTCAGCAAGCCTAAAGCAGCTTCCAGCTCCAGCAGCCTGTCCTCCCTGGAGCCCTCCCCAGGGCTTCCCCCTCTAGTACACTGCTGGGCATCCCTGGGCACTGACAGCCCTGGCTAACTCACATCAAAGCCCCATATGGGGTCTAGGTGGGGATAGGAATGCTAAAGGGACGGTGGGCAGGAGGCCAGGGTCTGGGGAAGTGTGGCAGGCAGGAGGGGGCCCCTCTGGCTCTGTGCCATCTGTCCTTCTGGCTGGTCTCTCTCCAGACAGTCTGCTTTGTCCCTCCTCCCTTTTCCCTCTGGAAGTCCACTAGTTCATCCAGGCATGTCTCCTCCCTTTCCTTCCCTCCTGTTTCAGGGGCCCCATGGTCTATCTCCCCATCCCTGTGTGTCTCCCTGGCTAGGCTCCTTCCCTCCTGTTTTGGGGGCCCCATGATCTATCTCCCCATCCCTGTGTGTCTCCCTGGCTAGGCTCCCATTCTCCCAGCCCCTCAGCCAGGCGGGGGATGCTGACCCCTGCCAGACACCCAGGGTCTCCTGGAACCAGAGGGCCTTTGGCCATGGGGCTCTGGCATTGGGCCAGTGCCTTTCTCACTGCCCGGCTCCTTCCCCACAGGCCCCTAATCCATCTCATTCAGCAGGAAGCCCTTCAACTGCCTTTTCAGTGGCCTTCCCCAGCCTGTTGTGGGCTCTGTGCCTTTCCATGCCACCCTTGGCAGGAGCTGTGTTATACAAGCTGGAGAGAGTGGCCCTGCAAAGAGGTGAGCAAAACTAAAGCAGCTTCCAGCTCCAGCAGCCTGTCCTCCCTGGAGCCCTCCCCAGGGCTTCCCCCTCTAGTACACTGCTGGGCATCCCTGGGCACTGACAGCCCTGGCTAACTCACATCAAAGCCCCATACGGGGTCTAGGTGGGGATAGGAATGCTAAAGGGACGGTGGGCAGGAGGCCAGGGTCTGGGGAAGTGTGGCAGGCAGGAGGGGGCCCCTCTGGCTCTGTGCCATCTGTCCTTCTGGCTGGTCTCTCTCCATCTTTCCTCTGATTGTAGCCCCTGCCCCCAACTCCTCAAAGCCCATTCACAGCCTTCCCAGACTCAGTTATGCAGCCAAGACTGAGGACTGGGAGAGCATGGCCCCTGCAGGCCACCACAACTGACTGTTTCAGACAAGAAGAGAGACAGGCCAAGTAAGAGGGAGGGGAGAGTTGGGCGGGGGGGACACAGGTTCTTTCTCTCTCCTGGCTTGTATTGGGTGATTGCTTGTTACTCCTGCGGTGGGGATCTCACAGCTTGGATCATTCTCGGATGGGCTCGATTTCAATCCTCCAATTCCATGGCACCGGCAAATATATTCTTACTGGTTATGATTTTTGATTTGGAAAATATGGTTCTTGTATGGCCTGTTCCCTACACTGCCCTCAACATTTCTCTCCCTTCCCTCTCCAGGGAAAAAAAAATCCCCCCAGCCAGGCCCTTTCTCCACAGCCCAGACTCTAGCCCTGCCTCCCAGTCTCCAATCCAGGAAGCCAGCCTTTGCTGGCTAGGAGTGGTTAGAGAAGAGTTGGGGGTGCCTCTGCTGCTGTACGGCCAAGGCGGATTGGATGGGCTCGATTTCAATCCTCCAATTCCATGGCACCTGCAAATATATTCTTACTGGTTATGATTTTTGATTTGGAAAATATGGTTCTTGTATGGCCTGTTCCCTACACTGCCCTCAACATTTCTCTCCCTTCCCTCTCCAGGGAAAAAAAAATCCCCCCAGCCAGGCCCTTTCTCCACAGCCCAGACTCTAGCCCTGCCTCCCAGTCTCCAATCCAGGAAGCCAGCCTTTGCTGGCTAGGAGTGGTTAGAGAAGAGTTGGGGGTGCCTCTGGGAGGTCTGGTTTGTAGTTCAGATTCTTCTCATTCCAGGCTCAGCAGGCTCTTTCTAAGGGAAGAGGGGGGATCCTTGGGGCACCAGCTGCAGTGAAGGAAAGCTTCTTGGAGAGAGGAGGGAAGTGTGTTTTCTTCTTTTAATGACCCCCGTCCACACAAAGTAGGACCCTAGGACCTGCCTCTCCCAATTCCATCTTTGCAGTCCCCGCAGAAGCTGCCTCAACATTAAGGCTCCTCCCAAGAAAAGGAGATATTCAGAGCTGAGGCCCTGATCTCTTTCTTTGCTTCCTAATGGGTCAGTTTCTCTCTTTTGAGGATGCTCAGAGATGTTTATAAGAAGTAGGGGAGGGTGGTCAAAAGAGGGATGCCTGGAAGAAACTGGGTTACCCCCAGCTTCTAAGAGATCATGTCAATCTGTTCCCAAAACTGAAGTCCTCTATAGATTCTTTGGAGATCCAAACCTTCCAAACCTGGCAGTTTGGAGAGAGAGAGAGAGAGAGAGAGAGAGAGAGAGAGAGAGAGAGAGAGAGACACTAGATTTTGACTTTAGCCCAGCATTAGCATATTTATTCCTCTCTACAGCCAACCCCTAGGCTACAGAATTCCTCGAGGGTTAATCAGAGTTTCCCAGACTTGGGGAAAGCAACCTGAGATCCTCCACCCTTAGAAGGGTTAGAAGTCTTAGAAGTCTGATACCTGCTCCACTTCTGGGAAAACTTTCTCCAGCTGCCTCTACCAGTTCTAGGAAAAACAAACATTAAAGACTTGTACTGAGTGTCCATTAAGTGAAGTCACTTACCACTTTATCTGATCCTCCCAACCCTTTGAGAGAGGAGATTAGTATCATCATCTTATAGATGAAGAGTCTGAGCTTCAGAAAGCTTGAGTGACCTGTCCAAGGGAATGGAGTAGGGGAGCAGAATTGAGTCTTTGGAGTCTGAGTCCAGTGCGCTGCCCCAGCACCACCTCGTGACCAGGTCTGCCTCGTGTGCCTGTGCTCAGGCCTCCAGGCTGACCTCTGGCTGACATTCTCCTTCCAGGTTACAGAGCATCATGGACCATCCTCAACTTCCTTTTCCAAAGCAATTATTGCTACAGATCCATTTTCTCATTCAATCTTCACTTCAGAAGAAACAGGACAGATTTATTATGCCTGTTCTGCAGATGCAGAAACTGACACTCAGAGAAGCAAAATGACCCACTGAAGTATCAAGGCCAGGACCCAAGCGCTATTAAGTACCAAGGCCAGGACCTAAGCACTTAAGTGTCCTATGTCCTCTTCAAGGGTTCTCACCGTGGTGTCCAATGTGTTTCTTACTTCACTCCTTCTCAGATCGGACACCGCAACACATCTGCAGTTAAACATGGCTTCAAGGGACTAGATAATCTTGTCAAAACTGGAGGCTGGAAATCTGAGCCCTAGAAACCTGGCTTACACATTTCTCCTCCTTGGAGCTTAGCTTCTCCCCATACAGAGCTGCCCTCTGTCCTCCACTGAGTGAGCCTCCTGCCTGTCTCCATGCCTTTGACATGCTGTTCCTCTGCATGTGATGCCTTTCCTCTCTGTCCCTGCTTACACACGTCTTTCTGTCCTTCACCAGCAGCTCAAAAGTCAACTCCTTCCTAAGCCTTTCTCCAGGACAAATCTCTTTTTCCTTTGTGCACCCACAGTACCTCGTGCACGCCTCCAGAGGAGCTAATACTCAATTATGCTGTAGTTACTTGTGTACTGGATCTCCCCACTAGGTTGGGACTCCTCAAAGGCAAAATGCATGTCCTCTGCACCAAGCACAGTGGGCAGAACTGGTGCGGCCAACCCCCAGGAGCTGCCCAGCCCCCCACTTGCCCAGGCCCATCGGTCACCTCCCCATGTGCCGACATGTGCTTTCCCTCTTTCTCGGCCATTCTTTATTCCAACCCAAGTTCTAACACTTGGTCAGTTTATTCTCGGATTTGTCTAAGTAGACTATAGAATCTTTTGTAAATAAAGAGTATTTTTCTTTTCCTTTCTGATATTTACACTTCTTTATCCTGTCATATTTCATTGCCTGGGGCATCTGGGCAATGACAAATAAAAGAAATGGTAGTGGGTACGTGTGTCCTGTTCCCCGACCTTCCCAGAAATTCTTCTGTTTCACCGTACTCAGTGATGTTCTGGAGATGGCTCGCACTGGCTCTAAAGAGCTGATGGCTGACTTTTCAGGAATTTTATGAGCCAGTTGTTAAACTGTGGATGGCTGGAAATTGGCCATGGCAGGAACATTTACAGCACAGAAACTGGCAATCACTACAAGTCAGTTGTCCCCAGCCCATTGCTACACATTGACCGGCACACCACTGCCATTAGTCTTCATTCTCAATATCCCAGCTTTCATCAGAACAGGCCACCAGGGTCTGATACAGGAGGATAATATAATAATTCAAATATCATATACGAATAAATAATTATAAATGAAGGTAAGCAAAAAACACCAGAGAGCTGCAAATATAGGTAAAATTGATCATAACTAGGTAAAAATAAGGTCTGAATATTGATAATAATTGGAAGAGATTAAGAGAATCTTGTAAATAATGGAGAATAGATTCAATGTGGTTTTGATGCTCCTGCCTGTTATTATTCAGCAAGTTCAAGTTTATTCCCTGAATTAAAATACCCATGGATGATGGGGATCTGGTGGTGGGGATGGGCCTGGGGTTGGGATGGGTCCCGGAGATGGGGCCAGCAGAGGAAAAGAGCAGACACCAAAGCCAGCACCTGCGTTTGAGTCCTGGCTCCACCCGTCCTGCCATGAGACCTTGGGCAAATCAGTTAGTCTCTCGGAGCCTCGGTCCCCCCTCTGTGAAATGGGGATACAAACACCTCCCTCACCATCACCGACTGGCAGACTGGGGCTGCCTGCTGCCCTAGGCTCTCTCTGTTTTCTTTCTCCTTAGTTGAGCAGGTCCAGATGGGGTTCTGGACACCCAGAGAGGTGCTCTATCCCCTGCCCGGGCCCCAAAGCCCCAGCCCCTACCCTGCAGTGTCCCCAAGCTCAGCCAGCTGCTCCTGTTCCTCTGTATGTGATGCCTTTCCTTTCTGTACCTGCTTACACACGTCTTTCTGTCCTTCAGCACCAGCTCGAAAGTCAACTCCTTCCTAAGCCTTTCTCCAGGACAAATCTCTTTTTCCTTTATACCCCCTCTGTGAAATGGGGATACAAACACCTCCCTCACCATCACCGACTGGCAGACTGGGGCTGCCTGCTGCCCTAGGCTCTCTCTGTTTTCTTTCTCCTTAGTTGAGCAGGTCCAGATGGGGTTCTGGACACCCAGAGAGGTGCTCTATCCCCTGCCCGGGCCCCAAAGCCCCAGCCCCTACCCTGCAGTGTCCCCAAGCTCAGCCAGCTGCTCCTTCAGGAACCCTACCCAGAAGCTGGTTTCCAGGCACTCCTAGTACCTGTCCGTGGACTCCAACATCTGGGGAAGAGCAGGCCCAGGTGTGGAGCTGAGGCCGCAACTGGAGCGAGGCCAACATGGCCATGTCGTAGGCAATGCTGTGGGCTGGGATGCAGGAACAGCTAGTCCAGCTGCAGGAGGCTCAGGTACAGCTCTGACAGCAGGGAGGGGGTCTTCTTTACTCCCCGGGATCCCTATCTGGTCCCCAACCCACAGCAATCTCCCTCCAGCACATCTGGGCAGGGAGGAAGGGCACCAAGCATAGAGTTCAACAGATGTGGGTTCAGTCCTGCTCTGCCATCTACTAGTGTGTGACCTTGGGCAGCAAGAGTGAAAGAACAGCTGAGACTCATGCGGACTGTCTGTGCCCCAGCACTGCTCAGCTCTGGATCTGCACCATCTCACTGAGTCCTCCAAGCCCCATTAGGTTAGTACCAGGATCACGGCCTTTTGTAATGGGATCCATCGCTGATGACCTACCCACCCCTCTCCCCACCTCTGCATCTCCCATCCCCCAGCCAGGGGAAGGAGAGTCATTTGTTACCTGGAGAGACAAGCAGAGAGACCAGGAATGTCTCATCGGGGCCCAGTCTTTGGACTCCACACCGGTACTTCCCGGAATCCCGCAGGGTGAGGTCCCTCAAGGTCACGGTGAACTGGAGCTCTTGGCGGCTGTCGCGGATGGACACCCTGCCCTCTGTTGTCTCCTGGCCATCTGCTCCCGTGTAGATAGTGCCAGAGCAATGGGAGAAGAGGAGCCAGCCCTCCTTGCACCAGTATTTCCTGTTCTCCCTCAGCTCTTCGCTGTAGGTGCACTGCAGGGACACAGTGTCACCTTCAAACCCGCTGATCTCCTTTGGGCCCTCCAGGGCTTCATAACCTGAAACCACAGTAGGGGTGGAGGTTGGAATTCCCTGGATCCAAGTACCAGGGTCAAGACCAGAAGTTTCCATTTTACTGAGAGGAAGGAAGGCTTTCCTCAGTCACCCCTTCTGGGGGCAGCCCTGTAAGAGCCAGTAGCCCCCCTCCCTTGGGGGGCAACTTGGGGCAGGGCCGTTGCTGTTTTCCTAAACCTCACATATTGAAGGGTTGGGGGGGCAAGCCCTAGATTCAGACACCGGGAAGTCTGAATCCCAGCACTGCCACTTAGTAGCTGTGTGACTTGGGGGAAGTTGCTTGACCTCTTTGGTCCTCTGAGTTTTCTCATCTATACACTTGATCTTAGCTAAAAGACTGAGAAGCGATTTTCTCATTTATAGATGATGATAATATCCGACATCATTGAATTTAAGACGGTATATGTAAGACACAGCATAATTTTACATACCAGTAAGAAAATACATAGCCAATTGAACAAGTGACAGTTATAAGATGAATCCTGGTTTCAAGTGTTAAAAAGTTAAAGAAAAAAATCAAGCCTATGAATTCACGAAATGTGATAATTCCTCATCTCAGGGTTGTTGGGAACGGCATAGCAGAGACTCAAATGTTTGCTGAGTTTAACACCTTCAGGCTTGGCACAGAGTAGGAAAGTGCAGGTTAGAGAGTTAAAGCTACTCCCACAGCCACACAGCCATGAAGGGGTTGGGACGCATAGACACAGCGGAAAACCTGGCTCTAGGTTCCAGGAACAGCCAAGTTCCAGTCCCCCTTGGAGGGCTGAAGAGGCTGAGCAGGGGTGGGCTGGGGTGAAGCCAGGAAGGACCAGGCGGGTGGGCACGGTGACGGCCGCATGTCACCAGGGAAAGGAAATGTTGGTTCAAGAGATCCTCTCTCTGCAGACCCAAAAGGCGAGCTGGGGCATGTGCCCCACGTCCCTCCCACGACCCTCGACCCCACCTCACCTGGGAGCACCAGACAGCCCCACAGCAGGATCAGAGGCCGCATCTTGGACGCCGCAGGAGCAGACACCCGGAACTGGAGCTCCTCTCTGGGCCACGGGGTGCTTTAACTTCCTCCTGAAGCGCAAGGTCTGGACGAGGAAGGGAGAGGAGGGGCCGTGCGGGTCACCCCTCCGCACGCCCGGCCGGGGAGGCGCCTCTGCTCTGCTCTTGACCTAGAGCCCCGCGTGCCAACCCTGGGCTTCCCTGCCCAGCCTGCAAACCCACGCGAGCGCTTCTGCCAACCTCGTGCCCCTTCCATGGGGCCTGAACCTTAGTCTACGCACCCGGAGGCGTTTGTGAGTAGAATTCAGGGAATCCATGTCTTTATATGGGAAAAAAAGACATGGACTTTCGTGCACATCTAACTGATCCTTAGCTTTTCCTTCTGCTGGGTGCAGTGTCAGCAGTGCCTGGAATTTTGTTAACAGTAAAAATCACAGACAGCAGCACATCGCGTCGCTGTCCCCATCTCGAAATATCGTGCAGACTCCTCACCGCCTGGAAAATCACCGGTTACTACACCTGCCCCTCGATGGATTAGTTAAAGCGCTAATAAACACGCCTATTACTATATCACACGATTACAAATATTTTGATAACCATTTCACTCCTGTTAGCTTTCTTTAAGCATGTATATTTTATTTTATGTATGTAGGGGGTCCACGGCTTCACCGACCGCTAAGCGGTGGGTGGGAAAGAGCCCATTTGCCCCCTTGGCGCTCGCCTCCCGGTGGGCGCAGTACAGTCCGCGGCCACGGGGCCGCGGTGCAGGCGGGCGAGCCGCGGGGCTGGGCGGATGCCGTGGAGTCCCGGGCCCGCCGCGGCCGAGCTGGCTGAGCGGTCCTGGAGTTCGAAAAAGCGAATGAACGGCTTCCCCAGCGCAGATGTGAATCCTCCTTGAAAGGAACGGAACAAACACGCACACTAGAGGGAGCCCGGACACACTGTTTCCAAAATAGCGCTGTCTGTTTCTCTGATTGCAAAGTTCATGCAGGTTGTAAGCAAAATTTTACACAATACAGAAATGTAAAGAAAAAGGTTTCCTGTCATTTCCCTTGTGCCTTAGATAACCGCCGTTAATATTTTGGCGTATGTCCTTCCGTATGCACAGTTGGAATTTTACCCACCTGGCAGGTTGATATTTGAAGCACTAACTCAGCGGTTCTGGGAGGGGAGAGAGTGTGTGTGTGTGGTTCTGCTAATGTGGGGGGTGTGTTCTGTTCTCACAATGGTTGGGGGGAGCTGCTGCCACTTAATGGGCAGCGACAGCTGCTCACGTCGGTGAAAACCTGTCATGACAATCTCAGCCCAGAACCTGACTCCCTTTTACATGTACACACTACAAAAGGTAATGGGTTTTGCAGTTTGAAAAAGACAGTTTAAGATAATATTTATTCTAGCATTTGATAATAAATCTCTGTTGTTTTAGTTATTTTTTGTCCTGATCCAGAATAATTTCTGGTCTTCTAACTTTTCTTGAACCCTAACTTATAAGTGGGGGCAAACATCCCACACTTCGTTACGTTTTCTAGTGTCACGGGGCCTGAGCACAGGCATTTCGAAGTATGTGTTATTTGTTATAAATGGTTTTCCTTTTGTTCTTGTCTCCCTAGTAAAGCTTGGGCATTATATTATGACTTTTTAAAAATGAAGTGTGTGAGAAGGTCTATCATTTATTTATTTATTTTTTTTGTCTTTTTCCGTGTCCGGCAACTGATCGCAACCCTCAGTGTTGCCCCCGTACCGGACCGGGACCGGCTACGGGATCGCAACCCTCGGTGTTGCTCCCACACCTCGCTCAGCCAGTGAGCGGGAACCGGTCTGTATGTGGGATCCGAACCCTCGGGCGGGAGCGCTGCCGCGCTTCCCAAGCAGCGCACTATCCAGTGCGCCACCCTGCCGGCCTCTCTGTGCTTTTTTGATTAATCTGTTAGTATCAACTGGGTCACAGTTATAACAACAGCACAGTGATCCAAAAAGAGAAAATTTAGATCTTTAAGGGCCTGTATGGGAATATTTTTACAGGAACTATGCTCAGTGGAGGTGGAGGTGAAGAGATATGTCCTCCTAGCTTCTGCAGTAAAGGAGCGTAGGGTGACTCAGCATACGTGTTATGGGTTTTTAGTTATCTTTCTCTTTCTAATTTTTTCTTTTAAGAATAAAATATTTATATGTCTTCAAGGGCAGGCATGTATGTAAGTAAGATGGTAAGTGAACAGCCAACGTTTTCTTGCAGAATTCACACATGGTGAGTCCAGCTGGGAGATTCCTCCCTTCAGTTGGCTGCCCTGTGCTCCGGGAGGCCTGGTGCTACAGAATATAATACATACTTTTAAAATTTTTGTGATCTTGGGCCGGCCCGATGGCGCACTGCTATAGTGCGCCGCTTGGGAAGCGCGGCGGCGCTCCCACGGAGGGTTCGGATCCCACATACAGACCAGTTCCCGCTCACTGGCTGAGTGAGGTGTGGGTGCAACACTGAGGGTTGCAATCCCGTTGCCGGTCCCAGTCCGGTACGGGCACGACACTGAGGGTTGCGATCCGTTGCCGGTCACGAAAAAAGACAAAAAAAAAAAAAAAATTATTTTGTGATCTTTCAGGGAAAGGCCAATGCTTATTGGTATTCATTCTTTCAATTTAGAAAAAGCAAATTTTCACACTCCAATGATTTAAAGGACATATTTCTTTTTTTGTGTGCATGGCCCATCTCTTTGAATTTATAGTATTCAGATGAAAATATAATGACTACTTCTCTAGTATGTGTCCGTTCAGTGTTCTTGCAAATCTCATTTGATCAAGAAACAGTCTTATATTTCAATTATACAAATATACTTTTAAAAAAAAAAATTTAGATTTCTAAGTAAAAACAAGTTCTGGATTCTCAGTAAAGGGGTGGAGCATGAAGCGTAAACATGAGTTAAACTTTTTGAATGTCAGAAATGGAAGGACTTTAGAGATTGTTCAGTTTGATTCCCTCAATTTGACAGATGAGAAAACTTTCTTGGAGAGGTCAATGATAACAACTACCATTATGGTCTACTTATAGGGAGCTAAAGACTTGTTAAGCACTGTGCATTCATTATCTCCTTTGATTCTAACAACAGCTTTTTTTTTTTTTTGTCCTTTTTGAGACCGGCCGCACCGCGCTCAGCCAGTGAGCACACGGGCCATCCCTTATGTAGGATCCGAACCCGCAGCGGGAGTGCTGCTTCGCTCCCAACGCTGCACTCTCCCGAGTGTGCCACGGGCTTGGCCCTAACCACAGCTTTTAAGGTAGGTAAACAATCAGCATATAATGTGAATCCAAGTCTGTCTGTTTGACATTTGTATTAGTCCATTTTTTGTTGCTATAACAGAATACCTGAGACTGGGTAATTTATAAGGAACAGAGGTTTATTTGGCTTACACTTCTGGGACAGCTGCATGTGGCGTGGGCCTCAGGCTGCTTCTACTCATGGCGGAAAGCGCAGGCAGCTGGCGAGTAGAGAGAGAGAGTGGAGGTACCAGGGTCTTTTAAACAATCAGCTCTGTCAGGAACTAATAGAAGGAGAACTCACCACCTCCAACCCCCAGGGAGAGCATTAATCCATCCATGAGGGATCTGCCCCTGTGACTCAAACAGCTCCCGACACTGCCACATTGGGGATCAGATTTCCGCAATAAGTTCTGGGAGGACAGTAATCCAAACTCCATCAACATTCTAACCCATGTCCAAGTTTTGAGATGTGCTGAGAAACTTCAGAAAGGGAAGGTCTTAAGCTAAGTGGAGTTAGTGCTTTTAAGGTTATCTCGTACTTGCTGGGAATTGGTAGAGATTTACGATGTCAGCTAGTGAGGTGATAATTGGATTTTTAGCTCAACTCAAAATGACTTGGAGAATGTGACTTATTTCTCAGTACCTATGGGAATTTTAAAATTTGATACTGAGCAGCAGCCCCAGCAGGTCTCTCTGACATGGTATAAACTATACGGGGTGGGGAAGACAGAAATATTTGCTAGGCATCTCTCAACCTAACAAGGGTATTGGAGATGACATGTACTCCCCAGATGCATAGGTTCTGTCACTATTAGCTGTATGATTTGGGCACATCTTTTCACCTTAATATCAGTTTTCTCATCGGTAAATTGGTGGCAATAAGACACACTTAACAACTCGTGGAATTGTGAAGATTTAGCAAAATAATTTAATAGGTTAACTTAATTTTTTTAAATTTAAAAGATGGTACAGATTTAAGTATCATTGCTCTAAAAGTCACCAGGTGTTTGCTAAGCATGCGTGACTAGTGAAGTCAGCTCATGCAGAAACCTGTGCTGTGTACTATAGTATACATCACTTTTCACCTCTTAATGTGCATAGGAATCACCTGGGGATCTTGTCAAAATGCATATTTCTTCCAATCCAGTAAGGTGGAGCTTGAAAGTCCACTTCTCCAAAAAGTTCCCAGGGAATGCAGATCCTGTGGGTCCACTGACCACATTTTGAATAGCATTTTGATTAGAAAGAAATTCAGAGGCTGGAATATAGCAGACAGTGCAGAAACTGGTAGGAAAAAGGTCAGAGATCTGAGCAGGGCTTGATTTTATTTTAGATAAAGTTGGAAGCCACTGGAGGCTTTTAAGTAAGGAGTAATATAATTTGATTTATCATTGAACATGATTACTCAGATGGCTTTGCATGTAGAATCAATAGTGGGAAGCTGGGAAAGATGAGTTAGAAAGCTATGGAACAACCCAGGCGAGAGATGACAGTGGTTATACAAAAGTGAACAGATTTGATGTATGTTTGCATGTACAGCCTACAGAACTTGTTTGTGGATTGGATGTTAGGAGTTTGAGAAGGCAACAGGTGAATGGTGAATCCATTCGCTGGGAGAGAAAATACTAAACAAGAAGCAGGTGTGGAGAAGAAAGTTAAGAATTTGGTTGTGGTCACATTTAAGTCTGCAGTACCTACTGGATATGTAGGAGGGCTTGTCCTCTGGAGTTCTAGAAAAAGATCAAGGCTGGAGATCTGAGAGTCATTAGTGTTTGTATGGTATTCAAAATGCTGGAATAGGCAGGGGTCTCCTGGAGAGAATGTGTAGACAGAGAACGTGTTCCAGGACCAAGTACTGGGCACACTAACTCTTGGCAGCCAGGTAAAGGAAGTGGAGCCAACAAAGAAACAGCTTGAGTCCAAAGGCAGTGTGCTGGAAGAATTCCCTGTGTTGGGGGGAGGTCAGCTTTTTTTCTCTTAAAGGTTTCAACTGATTGGATGAAGCTCACCCACATTATGGAGAGTAATCTGCATTACTAAAATTCTACTGATCTAAGTGTTGATCTCATCTAAAAAATACCTTCACAGTAACATTCAGATTTGTTTGACCCAATAAATATCAGAGTGCCATGGCC